CTGCAGCTTGTGTCATCACTGCCTCCTCCAACCATCTGCTCTTCTCCTCCACTGTGCAAGCCCTTTGCTCCCCACCTGACAGCCACCTCTCTTATTGCTATGTCTTCAGAGCCTTCAGGTGTCCCTATTTTCCAGGGACAGCCCCAGATTTACAGAGGCCGTCCAGGTTTCTGATTTGATCCGAGAATGTCCTGCTTTTCCTTGGGACATCCCTATTTTCATGAGAGAAACGTTGGAGGATATGGAGGTTTGTGACCCCCAAGCCAAGCAGATAAGCAACCTTTAAAAGACATCTGAAGGCAGCGCTGCATAGGGACGTGTTTTAATGTTTTACAGTGGTACCTCTGGATGCGAACTAGATCTGTTCCAGAGGCCCGTCCGCAACATGAAAAGAGCACAACCCGCAGTGGCGCATCTGCGCACGCCCGGGTCGCGATTTGCTGCTTCTGCGCATGTGCGTGACGTCATTTTGTGCTTCTGCACATGCACAAGTGGCGAAACCTGGAAGTAACCCTTTCCAGTACTTCCAGGTCGCCACGGGACGTAACCTGAAAGAACGTAACATGAAGCGGACGTAACATGAGATATGACTGTATTATGTTTTTATATATGTTGGAAGCTACCCAGATTGGCTGGGGTGTAAATAATAAAACAAGAAAGAAAAACAAGAAAGAAAAGTGGGCAGCATCTAAGAAACTGGTGTGGCTGCAGAAGGAGTCATGCCAGACCAATCTGATTTCTTTTGTTGATGGAATTACAAACTTGGTGGATCAGGGAAATGCTGTGAACATAATGTATCTTGACTTCAGTAAGGCTTTTGACAAAGTCCCCCATGATATTCTCACGAGGAAGCTGGTAAAATGTGGGTTGAACAAGGTAACTGTAAGGTGGATTTGTAGCTGGTTGACTGACTGAACCCAAAGAGTACTCATTAATGGTTCCTCATCCTTCTGGAAAATGAACCCGTTGTTGTTCAATGTCTTTATAAATGACTTTGATGAAGGAATTGAGGGGATGCTCATCAAATTTGCAGAGGACGTCAAACTGGGAGGGGTAGCTAATTCAGCAGAGGCAGAATCAGAATTCAAAATGACCTTAACAGACTGGAGAACTAGGTACAAGCAAACAAAATGAATTTCAGTAGGGACAACTGTAAGGTTCTGCACTTAGGCAGGAAGAACCAGATGCATAAATAGAAGATGGGGGGACACCTGGCTTACTAGCAGTACCTGTGAAAAGGATCTAGGGGTTTTGGTGGGTCACAAGCTTAACATGAGTCTACAGTGTGATGCAGCAGCAAAAAAAACCTAATGCTATTCTAGGCTGCATCAACAGAAGTATAGTGTTCAGATCAAGGGAAATAATAGTACCACTATTCTGCCTTAGTCAGACCACACCTGGAATACTGTGTCCAAGTCTGGGCACCACAATTTAAGACAGATGCTGGAACGTGCGCAGAGGAGGACAACCAAGATGATCAAGGGTCTGGAAATTAAGCCTTATGAGGAGCTCTTCAAGGAGCTGGGTATGCTCAGCCTGGAAAAGAGGAGACTGAGAGGAGATATGATAGCCATCTTCAAATCTCTTAAGGGTTTTGGAGAATGGAGCATGCTTGTTTTCTCCTGATCTGGAGAGTAGAACCAATGGCTTCAAGTTGCAAGAAAGCAGATTCCGACTAAACATCAGGAAGAACTTTCTGACAGTAACAGCTGTTCAGCAGTGGAACAGACTCCCTTGGGAGGTTGTGGACTCTCCTTCCTTGGAGGTTTTTAAGTAGATGTTGGTTGGCCATCTGTCAAGGATGCTTTAGCTGAGATTCCTGCATTGCATGGGGTTGGACTAGATGACCCTTGGGGTCCCTTCCAACTCTAAGATTCTATGATTATTATTATCATGGAATAGGACGTCCCTATTTTCATTGGGGAAACGTTGGAAGGTAGGTGTCTCCCTCTCTCAGGGGGGAGAGGCAGTTGGGTGCACAAACCCCTCAGCCTCCCCTCCCCCACTGTGTGCCTGTGGCAACCATAGAAAAACACACTGATTCCCCCTTTTTTCCTAGGTTGAGTATAGTTTGGTGCACGAAAGTTAAAAAGAAGAAAAGAGAAGAAAAGTCACCTTTTCACTATTGAAATGTCCTTCCTTTTATATTCAGGATTTTTGTACTTGTGTTCTTATATAGAAAGACTCTTCTATACTGTGCATGTCTTGGGAGAAGGTTTGTTGTTATTAGGATAAACGATGAAACAGGACTATAAAACTAGAAGCTGCACGGTTTTTTATTTCTTCCCCAGCCCTTCCTGGAGATGCCACTGGGAAGTGAACTTGGGACCTTCTGCATGCCAAGCATGCACAACTGATCTACAGGCCTTCTCCTAAACTTGGAAGGTTTGCTGTACTGTGCACTTTAAAGTAGCCATGATGAATCTAAAAAACATAGTACTGGGGCAAGCTGGTGTTTCATCTGCAGATGTTCCTGGGAACTTAGTACACATATTTCTAGTTTTTGATAAGGCTGCTGGAGACCTTGGCTTCTTGATTAGAGTGGCAGTAAACACTGCCATTCCTTCTAAACAAATGAGTGAGCTCATTTTGTTTTGAAAAACAAGTTCAAAGCTGACTGGATGCATGTCAAAGCCCAGGAAGTTGTAGATACAGTAGGACCGAAGTTTACTCCTCTGCTTTGCCTGGAAGGACACATGCCTCAGTCACGTCACTGATGTAGGTGGTTCTTTTGGGGGTGTGATTCTCTGGAGGTGTGGTTGGTTGGTTTCTTCCTTCCTTCCTTGCTATATCTGCTTCACTTTGTCTGGTGTGCTGTGAGGCTTGGATCATTGCCTTGAGGTAGGTAAGAATGGGTTGTTGGTTTCCCCCCATTTATGTTAGGGAGTTTAATTTATTTCCCAACTAGATGGGCTTGGGGAGGTGGGGTGGGCAGATGGGAGTTATATTTACTTTAATTATTTTGATAGTGCTAGTCGTCTTTGACTGGACTTAACTGGCCAGGGGCCCTTTACCTCTACCTTTTACCTTGCCACTTATTGGTACAAGTCCAAATCATATTCAATTTAATTATATATGTATTTCTAATCTTGTATAAATTTCTATAGGCTTAATTTTCTATTTTCTGTATAAATCCTATATTGGTCATGATATCATTTCATTTTCCATTTCCACTAAGTTGTGTATATTCTTAAAAAGAGTGATTTGTGTCTGCGTTTTTTTTTAATGGTACAAGCTGTGGTGGTGCAAACTGTTTCACTGTGTTGCTATTGAGTAAAATCAAACCTTGATGGGGGGTTTTCATGGTGCAAGCTGTAATGGTGCAAGCAGTTTCACTGTATTGCTGCTGAGCTGTTTCACTGAGCTGTTTCACTGTATTGCTACTGAGCAAAATTGAACCCTGATGGGCAGTTGATGAATGTGGCTTTGGCCAAGATTTGGGGGGCTATCATTGTGCCTTCATTGAATCAGTGGAGAGTGGAGGCTGTAGCAGCCCCTCATTGCTTTGACAATGCTACTTATGAGTGCGTGTGCAAATAACATTCAATTGCTAATAATTGTGTGTGTGTGTGTGTGTGTGTGTGTGTGTGTACAGTATCAATTTCTATACATTCTATATTGGCCGTTATGTTTCTTATATCCATAGAGTGGTTTGTTTCTGGATGGTTTGTTTTTTTTAAAAAATAATAATGGTGCAAGCTGTGATGGTGGAAACTGTTTCGATGTGTTGCTATTGAGTAAAATCAAACCTTGTTGGGGGATTTTTTATGGTGCAAGCTGTAATGGTGCAAGCGGTTTCACTGTGTTGCTACTGAGCCAAATTGAACCCTGATGGGCAGTTAATGAATGTGGCTTTGGCCAAGATTTGGGTGACCATCATTGTGCCTTCACTGAATCAGTGGAGAGTGGAGGCTTTAGAAGCCCCTCTCCAGAGATGCTGTTGTGTTGGAAATGCTAGAGGCCATTTCACTGAACTGCCATGCAATAGTTTGAAACAGAGAAGGCTGCACATTTTTTCTGTTTGGGCTCTTCTGCAGTGGTTTTGTGGTCTCCACAGGGGACAATTCTCCCCACAATATTTCTGGCTCTGGGTCTCATTCTCACCTCTCCCCCATCTCTTCTAGCTTTAACCACCCGCAAAGCCAACTGTCTTGGGATTGCAGAGGTCACTCCTTTAAGGTCACCCCTTTAAGGATCTCTTCTACAAGTATGTGAAAGTGGTGCATGTGTTGTTGTAGTAGATCTGCCTAGGAAGGGAGGTTAGGTGAAGGTGCTGTTGGGGAGGTGTCTTGTTTTGTGGAGAGGTCAGGATGAGAGCAAAGAGCTTGATGCTCAGGCTTCTTTGTAAGAGCCATGCAAGAGCAAATTAGTGGCCCTTCTAGTCCAGCAGTCTACTCCCCTAGTGGCCAACCAGATGTTTTGGGCAAAATCCACAACAGGAATCGTGATCCCCAACAACTGGTGAAAGACATGCTGCCTCTTTTCCTGGGGGAAATATTTAGCTGCCAATGCCTTATTTGCCACAAATTTCTCTGTTCTGTCCCATATGGCAGCCATCCCCTTATCTAGTGGCAGGGAGTTCCATCCTTCAGCAATGTGTGGAAAAGTCCTTTTTCTGGTCTGCTTGTAATCTTCCACTCACCAGTGTCACTGTATGACCCCACTGGACATGACAAGAAGCCCCTCTCTCTCCAGTCTCTCCACTCCACATGCCATTTTATACACCACCAGCCTTACAGTGCAGAATAAAGCCACAACACATTAAAGAAAGAAAAGAGAGACAAGCAGGAGAGAGGGAGGGAAGGAGGTGGGGGCTTGGCCAAAGTGAAGGGGAGATGTGAGAGAATGGGGGGATGGAGACGGGGAGCAGAGAGGGTCATCTGAAGGGGTTTTCTGAAGAGGCCTAAGAGTGGTAGCAAGAGGTTTAGTAAGAAATTGATGCATGAGATGTAAATAGATGGATGAACCTTCCTTCACATCCTTTTCTCCTCTTTCAGTTGCAGAAATGCTGGAAGGGGCAATTGAAACCGCTCTCCAGGTTAGTGTCTGTGGGAGCAGGTATAAGACCCCCCTCAGCACAGTCCCCCCCTTGCCTCCCCCCACCCACTAGCCCAGGGAAATGTCGGTTTTGATGTTTGTCTCCTGGGATCCAGGAGCAATCCTCCCCCCCCATGGCTTTCACAGGTGTGAGGTTGAGAAAGTCCATTCCTGATTAAAAACCTGACTTTTTCCATTTTCAGGATCTGGCCAGGGATTATTTTTTCCTCTTTTGTGTGCACTTCACATGTGATCAAACCCGTAATGTGGCTCCTAATGCCGTGGTGTATCAGAAAGATCCTGTGACCAAGGTCATTTTGGTAAGTGAGATTCAGGATGAGAAATCCATTGGGGAGGTGGGCGGAAGGGATGGGGTGGGGTTTGGGGAATGGTCTGTGAAAAGGAAGTTTGTGGGTCTGGCAAAGAAGAAGAATGTGCAGGCATTTGGGACAGGCATTCCAATTGCAATTGAAGTCAACCCCTGAATCTGGGGCTGGAGCAGCCCCCCTGAATTCCATGGGGAACTGACTTTGCTCTTCTGCTCTTTGAACTCTTCTCAGGACATCATGGAGAGATGGTACATGTTTCCGGTCCCCTTCAAAGTATTGAAAAGGGGAATGAATGACGTCATCTGCCTCACGTATGTTGTTGGCATTGTTTGTGCAATTAGGAATTAGAAATGGCAAAGTGGGGTGTTTGTGAGCTGCTTGAGGAAAGGGCAGTCAGCAGCTGACAATTTAGACTGAGAGGGATGAATCAAAACACAGGGAGATAGCAGAGACTGAATAAATGGGCCAAGAGTGCCATCTTGAGCTTGACAACAAGCTGATAGGGTAGGCAGGATGGAGCAATGGAAACTTCTGTCTCTAAAAAAGAAAAGAAAAATCATGGGTGGCTTTTATGCTTCCAGGGCTGGATGTATCCCCTCCCTCAATCTCTCCCCTTCCTTAACGGAAGCTGGGACTTGATGGGTCAATAGGGAGCTGTCTGACATGGGATTAGTTTTTCAGTGGGTTGTGTAGCTTTTAAATGTACATGCTTGAGAGGTACAAAATTAGAGGCTGTGGGGTTCACAACAAGCCTGAAAATCATCCATAGGACTTTGGGAAATTCAATCTCATATTTTCTGCTTCATCGTGACAGCTTCGTGAGACCAGCATATGCGGTTGTTAGGAAAAGGGCCATCATCCGTGGGATGCTTTTTCCCATTGTTCACATTCCTGGACTGAGCAATCCTGACAGGGAGGTAAATTCTTTGTAGCTTTGATCATTACTCTTGACTTCTATTGGTTCAATTTATCTCCTGAAAAGTTTGCACATCTTTTCATTTCTTACTAATTTTTCAGTGAGACCATAAGCTTAGCTACACAGATAATGCTTTTGGTTTCACTGGGGGTTTTTAACGTCATCTCCATTCAGAAAGTGAATTTTGCCTCATTATTTGTCCATGAGTGAAAACTCTTAGTTTCATTTGAAGCTGGCATTTGTCTCTATTCTGCCAGTTTGCTTCAGTATCACCCTTATCCAATGCTAAAAATCTGTTAGCTATTCTCCCCCCCCCATCTCTTTCCACATCATCTCCTCCCATGAATCTATGAATCCACCTCTGTGAAAATGGTTTTCACCACCAGGCTCTCAAGCAGCTGTTTCATGCAATTGTGAGGCGCCTGCTGACTGAGGACCCAACCGCTCAGTGCCTAAGAACCCTCTTGGAAGTAAGTGTGTTGGTGGGACGAGGGTATTGATTCAATTCAGCAGAGCCTGCTGGCATAAAAGCTTGATCAGGCAGCATCACAAACCCAGAACATGGGTGTCCCCTGACACGCTGGGGAAGGGCAGGCCACTCAGACAGGGGGCCACCCTTGTCAAGGCCCTTTCTTCAGTCTCCACCTGGGTGCAGCAGCCGGGGGGCAGCAAATTTGGGACTGGGTAACTTGGGAGAAAGTAGTTCTTTTTTGCTGTTTGGAGCAATGAGCAAAGAATCTCCCTCAGATAGTGGGGGAGACTTCTCGGTGGAAGCGGTAGCTTGCCTCTGTAGCTCAAACCAGCCCCCTGATACTAAGGTGCTTTTTCCTCCCACAGACGCTGACCCATTTTTTCAATTCAGATGATGTGCTTGAAAGAGCGCTGGCTACCAGCAGTATCAACATCCTGCTGGCAAACGCTCTGAAATACAATCATCTGACTGTAAGTATCTGTTTTATGGGCCAGAGAGCTTTCTCAAAGTGGCTTACAAAAGACTATCTCAGTGAAGGAGACATCCAAGTCGGGCAGAGAAGTAACATGGTCTCCCAGTGTGTCCAGGATTACTCAGGTGGTAGTTTTTTGTGCACTTCTTTGGTGCTGCCCTTTGGCCTCCACCTACTAGGCAGCAGAGCCCACAGAGGTCCTTGGAGGCAAGGAAGTGGGGTTTAGTAGATGCTTTGGGGTTTAAAAAGGACCTAATTCAGACTTTTCTTCATTCTACAGCCCGGGGTCATAATAAGGGTTCTCCCCGAGGAGCTCACTCCACTGTTCCTAAACATCAGCGAAGGCAAGTACTCCATTCTGCAAGCACAGAACAAACCCACAGGGCTCACTCTCCACCCCAAAGCCATCCTTGGCAGCCTAACTGGGGTCTGAGGAGGGCTCACTTCTTTGCTGTAACACACCTGGTTGCTGTAACACAGCTCAGTTTGAAATCCCAGCCCTGCCTCAAAGCTCCCAAGCAAGGTGGAGAGTGAACAGCTGTTCCCAGATGCTATGGGGATGCTGGCTCCAAGTGGTGGACCCCCAATGGTGTGGCAATGGAGGTGGTGATGTTGGGGGTGGGTAGCAGCCCCACTGGGCTTTGCTGGGGCATGGGAGGGGGCATTACCTGTCTAAGAATGCCTGGTGATGAGTCTGGGCCTGGTTGTAAGGAAGACTCACTTTTCTTATCTTCTTTTCCATCCAGCGGACATCCAGGCTGTGATTCAGGATGTGTTCCCACCACTGAATGAGGCGTACTGAATCCTATTCCCAAACCAGATTGATGTGTGTGGTGAAGAAGGAATCATTGTCTGGTGTTATCTGAAGACATTTGTCATTATCTGAGGGTGTTTGTCATTATCTGAGGGCGTTTGCCATTATCTGAGGGCACTTACTATTATCTGAGGGCATTTGTCATGATCTGAGGGCATTAGCCATTATCTGAGGGTATTTCCCACTTTAAATAAAAATTGAATTTTGAGCAATTCTGAGCTTACATTTGTCTTTGTGATTTCTGTTCCATCACTTTACTTGCACCCCTGTGCTGCGGCTTAGAGGTTTCTTTCTGGGGTGGGGGGAGGAAAGAGACACTGCTGGCAACTTCTGAGGGCGATTTGGATCAAGTAAAAGGTTTGGGAGGGAAAGGTTAAAGCCCCCTCCCACCACTGAAGCTGCCTCCCTAGTTGCTGCTTTGACTTTTTTTTTTTAAGAAAGCATGGAGTACCCTGATCTTCATCATGTGTGCCTACTTGAATAAGAGATTGTCTTTCCTCTCTGTGTGAGCAGCAGAACACTGTTCCACAGTGATGCCACCTGGACAGGAGTTGGGGCCGAAGCAGAATGGGCAGGAGCTGCAGGAGGGCAGGTGGCACAGCACATTGCGAAGCTTTGATGGGAAGAATCTGCCCTTTTTAAAGTCAGCAGGTGCAGACTTCCTCATCAGTACTTCTCTGGACTTGGGGGGGGGGGAAGATGCAGGCATGAAAAGCTGCAGAACAGGCAGGAGTATAGCAGGTGAAGGGTTTTTCTTGGGCGCAGTGGTGAGAAGGCCTGGCCTGTTATGTGGCCCTGAAGGTACAACAGCCCTGCCAAGGAAATTATGTATGGTAACATGAGAGGCTAAGCAACAATACTTGGAAGCACTTAAACAGTTTATATTTTGATAAGATTGCCCAAAATGTGCCTATGTGTGAGAGAGGGAGGGAGAGATCCAAGGATGTGTTCTGTTGTTGCCTCTGGGATTTGCTCCGCAGGGAAGGATTCCTGGCTGCGTCAGTGTTACCTTTGTGGCACCAACTGAAGGCCTACTTTTCCCAGGCTTTTAAGATGCCATATGCAACTTTTCAATCTACTGGTGGCAGGCATTGCACACCAGCAATGGCCAGCTTATTTATTTTTTGTGAGGAAACTAAGAGGACTCATAACAACTCTAAGAACTCTGAACAAACTACACTTCCCAGGATCCTTGTCATTCTGGAAGGGTAATGGGGGGGGGGTCTCCTCAGAACCCTCAGCACCCTTAACTACATTTCCCAGCATTCTTTGGGGGAAGCCATGGCTTTTTAAAAGTGTTATTGCAATGCTTTAATCAGGCATGGCCAAACTTGGCCCTCTAGCTCTTCGGGGGCTACAGTTCCCATCATCCCTGACCACTGGTCCTGCTAGCTAGGGATGATGGGAATTGTAGTCCCAAAACAGCTGGAGGGCCAAGTTTGGCCATGCCTGTTTTAAATGCATGGTGCGAATTTTGCTCAAGAGCAGCAGAAAGGTACCCAGCACACAGCACATATGTTGGGGCCAGGCACCAGAGATCTGGAGCTGGGGGTCTCCAATAGCAGGACCCAGAGGCACCTTCCTCTCTTTTGCTACCGGGGAACCTGCTGGAGGTACTGGCCTGCGTGCAACTTGGCTTTAACAGTGCTACTGTGACATACCCTCCAACATCCTGATGATGCAAATTGGGACAGGACCTGGACCCTCAACACACTTGCAATGCCTCCCCACCCCCTCTGGAGATGCATCCACCTCCCCTTCTCACTAGACAGCACCCCTTCTCTTCTTTGGGGCTCCCCACTTTCCACATCCAACAACCCCACTGGTGGGCCCTGGCTTACCTTCGCTCGCCGCCATGACTGCTTCACCTCTCCTTCCCAACAGTAGTCACTTGCCTCCTCCACCCTCACCCTGTCCACAACACATACACATGAGGGTCTTAGGGACTCTTCCACCTTACACCCAAAATTCTGAGTGGGGGGCCATGTGATGCAGAGGAGGGGGAAGAGGAGGGGTGGTGCAGCACTAAAAACTGTGCAGCTTTTTTTGGCAGGAGCCAACTGGCGGGAGCCCCAAGGCTGCTCGTCAATATGGGCAGATTGATCTTGTCACCTTGGGGCAGTTTTATTCTTGTTCAAAGCAAACACTAACTTTCCCATTCATGAGCAGGGATTGGGGAGAACTTATATTTCATTCACATTTAAAGCCAGATCTATCAAATTCTTACTCTTGGAAACAATATGAGAACCAAAACACAACCATCCTTCAAAACTCGCATTTATCCGAATTGCATGATGCAGTTTTACAGCCAAATAATGCTTCCAAAAATGCACATATTGAGGGGTAATGTGCACAAAATGCATATATTAGTGAAAATGACATACAAAGAGACATTATATTAAAAAAAAAACCCTATTACAGAACAGGCAAGTGAAGGCAGGAGGAGCAAACGAAGCAATCGGTCAGTTGCCTGTGGTTGCATCTCAAGCAGGCCCTCCCCAAATGTTTCCAACTTCTTAATAGCACTGGGTCAAACCTTACAGCATTACTCAAGCATGCAGAAATTATTTCAAAGAGGAATTTAAGTACAGTGGTACCTCGGGTTAAGTACTTAATTCGTTCCGGAGGTCTGTACTTAACCTGAAACTGTTCTTAACCTGAAGCACCACTTTAGCTAATGGGGCCTCCTGCTGCCACCACACCGCCAGAGCACGATTTCTGTTCTCATCCTGAAGCAAAGTTCTTAACCTGAAGCACTATTTCTGGGTTAGTGGAGTCTGTAACCTGAAGCGCATGTAACCTGAAGCGTATGTAACCCGAGGTACCACTGTATGTCATGAGACACTGAAAACTAGGTATAAAGCTATATAAAACATTAATAAGGCTTCTGGTCTGGACAAATAAATCATACATGTACCGTATTTTGCGCCCCATAGGATGCTCCAGCCCATAGGACGCACCTAGTTTTTTTTGGGAGAAATAAAGAAAAAAAATTTTATTTCCCCCCCAGGTGCGGGGCTGGAAGAACCAGGTCGGGGAACAGTGGGAAGGCGCACTCTGCCTCCCCGCTGTCCCCCAAGCTTGTGGGGCTGGCGATGGGGAGAAGTGCGCTGATCCCGGGACTGCAGGCAGCTCTGCGCAGCCACCGGGAGCGGGGCGGGACTTCGCGCCCGGCTCCCGGTGGCCGCGCAGAGCTGCGCTGAGCCCGGGACTGCAGGGAGCTCTGCGCAGCCACCAGGAGTGGGGTGGGACTTCGCGCCCGGCTCCCAGTGGCCGCGCAGAGCTACGCTGAGCCCGGGACTGCAGGCAGCTCTGCGCAACCCTCGGAGCCGGTCTCCCGAGGGTTGCGCAGAGCTTCCTGAAGCCTGGAGAGCGAGAGGGGTCGGTGCGCACCGACCCCTCTCGCTCTCCAGGCTTCAGTGAAAGCCTGCATTCGCCCCATAGGACGCACACACATTTCCCCTTCATTTTTGGAGGGGGAAAAGTGCGTCCTATAGGGCGAAAAATACGGTAGTTGGGCAGATGCCTCTTCCATCAGTGCTTGCCTTTGTAGTCCAGTAAGTTCCAGGAAAACAAAGCCACAGTACATGCCACTGAAATCCCATCAGGTTATCCATGTACTTTGGTTCCAGGTCCATAGTTGGGGAAGATTTTTTATATTTTTTTCTAATTATTTTTATTGTCTTTTATAGATACAACAAACCCAGTGCTGTTTTTCTAGAAAAAGAGGTGCAGGATGTCACCATGAGTTTTCTTATAATGGCAATGGCACCCACCTGAGAGGTGCTGGCAAATGGTTTCTGAATAGTGTACCAGAGCGGCTCAGACCACTCTGACAAGCTTTGCCAAGGCCAGGTATTTTTCAATCATATAAAACAATTTCAAACCCCTATACAAATGGTTCCTGAACATCCCTGGAGGTGTGTTGGGGAGGATTTTTCTTTTGAAAGATCTTAGCCAGAACCTGTTGAATATAGCTGAGCATACGCAGACTGTCCAGAAGCAGTCAGTTGCAGGCAGGGTGAAGCAGGAACAAGACGCTGCTACCAGTAACTTGGTTACTTATGGGTTTATTATTTACAGCAGACTCACAAGTTACTATATACAGGATACAGACACGGATCTTAACTTTCTCACTGAACAAACTCCAACGAACTCTCAAACCACACACTGACCAACCAACTAACCAACAAGAAAGGTCATGAGTCATCATGCCTATGTGGTGATATCTACCTATAGCAGAGTTGTATCCAAGGTCCCATATCTCTAGGCAGAATAGCTCCCTCTGCTCAGAATTCTTGGCCTTCGGCCAACTCCTTAATTGCTTCTGTGGCGAGCTGCATCAAATAGCACGTAGTCAAAAATCCCAACAGTGCTTGCCTTTGTAGTCCAGTGAGTTCCAGGCAAATAAAGCTACAGTACATGCCACTGAAATCCCATCAGGTTATCCATGTAATTTGGTTCCAGGTCCATAGTTGGGGAAGAATTTTATTTAAAAAATTCTAATTATTTTTATTGTCTTTTATATAGATACAACAAACCCAGTGCTGTTTTTCTAGAAAAAGAGGTGCAGGATGTCACCATGAGTTTTCTTATAATGGCAATGGCACCCACCTGAGAGGTGCTGGCAAATGGTTTCTGCATAGTGTACCAGAGCCGCTCAGACCACTCTGACAAGCTTTGCCAAGGCCAGGTATTTTTCAATCATATAAAACAATTTCAAACCCCTATACAAATGGTTCCTGAACATCCCTGGAGGTGTGTTGGGGAGGATTTTTCTTTTGAAATATGCACACTAGCTGGGATGAGGAAAGTGTGCCGCTATGAGAGGGAACCATCCATGGCTTTCTTTTAAGCAGCACCTCCCTGGCTGTGAGTTTTGAGAAGGCAGAGCCCTGAGGGGAAAACATTGTCAGGCCTTGCTGCTACATCTGAAGGTTAGTGGACAGGAATGGCTCAGTGTTCCCATCCTGCCAATACCTGCTGCTGCTCTCCTAATTGAGAACATGCATGTTTCGAGGTTTGGGCTTTAGGGATTTCTGCAGAACCTGAAGAACAGAAGATATAGCAAAGGTGCTGGAATTCTCAGTAAGCAACATTAAGACTGGTGTGTGTGTTTTGTAGGGGGAGGGGACATCTGCGAAC